CTGGGGGAGGGAGGACCAGAGACATACAGGGAAAACTGAGCTGGATGGCTTCAGGGCAAGGGCTGGAGGGACGGCCACCATTGCCTCTGTATTGAGCTCTTCTCTCACACAGCCAAGTCTGAACCTGCACTAACCTGGTGAACAACATTCGACCCACCCTGGTGACTCCCTGAGACCCTGCCTCACCAAACTTGCATACCACCTGGGGCTCTTTCAGTAGCTGAGTCTTATAAGCAGCCAGCAGGTGGCAGCAGACCTCAGCAAGCTCATTTGATGAGTGGCCTGAGGCCGGTACTGGTGGTAGCCAGCCTCACATCTCCAGGCCCAGCACTTTGTAGCCCCTATGAGGTAGTGCCAAGGCTGTCATAGGCTGAATTTGGCCAACATCAGAGCCCCTTCCAAGAGGCCCCAGAAACAGAGGCCACATTCAGTGGCTGGCTTCAGACAACAGAGCACTACCCAATTAGCTACACAAGTGGCACACCAGAAGGGTGCTTTCAGCAGACATCAGAGCCCACTGGGGTGAGTCCTGCTCTGTGGAATCAGCCCCCCACCCCAGCAGCTTGTATGGGGTGGTTGCGGCCAAAACTTACAGCCAGTCAGCCGCAACCCCACCCACTGACATGCCAACAGCAATCAAGGCTCAACTATAACAGGAGGGCACACACAACCCACACAAGGGACACGCCTGGAGCACCCAGCTCAGGTGATCAGGAAGACTGTGCCACTGGGCCCCACAGAAAACCTAATCTATTAGGCCACCCTGTCAAGACTGGAAAATGTAGCTGATCTAACTAATACATAGAAACAAACACAAAGAAGCAGCCAAGATGAGAGACAAAGAAACATGTCCCAGGCCAGCTAGTGTGGTTCAGTGGTTGAGTGTCGACCCATGAACCAAGGGCACATGCTGGGGTTGCAGGCCCAATTCCCAGGAGGGAGCGTGTAGGAGGCAGCTGATTGATGATGTTTCTCTCTCATCGATGTTTCTATCTCTATATCCCTCTCCCTTCCTCTCTCTCTCAAAATCAATAAAAACATATTAAAAAGAAAAAGAAACATGTCCCAAATGAAAGACCAGGAGAAAACTCCAGAAAAATAACTAAATGGAATGGAGGCAAGCAATCCACCATATACAGAATTCAAAATACTGGTTATAAGTATTCTCAAGAAACTTAGTGAGAAATTCAATAAAGATATAGTAAGCATAAAAAAAAGAACATAGTAATAATAAAAAAATGAAGCAGTCAGAAATAAGAATACGATAACTGAAAGAATACACTATACTGTGATAACTATGTGTTTTATGGGGCCAGGTAGGTACTTGAAGCATCAGGGGAACCACTCTGTAAAGTACATGATTTTCTAACCACTTTGCTGCACATCTGAAACTAATTGTGAATGTAAACTGTAATTGAAAAAATAAATAAAAAATATTAAAAAAAGAATACACTAGAAGGAATCAACAGATTAAATGAAGCAGAGAATTGAATCAGTGATTTGGAAGACAAGGTGGCAGAAAACACCCAGTATTACAAGAAATGCTAAAGGGACTTCTTTAAGAAAAAGGAGGGGGAAAGAACATAAATATAAGTAATAAAATGACAATAATTACATACCTATTAATAATCACTTTAAATATAAATGGATTAAGTGCTCCATGCAAAAGACATAGGGTAGCTGAATGGGTAAGAAAATAAGACCAATACATATGCTGTTTACAAGAGAGCCATTTCAGAACGAAAGACACACAAAGACTGAGAGTAAAGGGATGGAAAAAGATATTTCATGCAAATGAAAATTAAAAAAAAAGCAGGGGGAGTAATACATATATCAGACAAAATAGACTTTAAAACAAAGGTTATAATAAGAGACAAAAAAAGGACACTTCATAATGATAAAGGGATCAATCCAATAAAAGGATATAACCCTTTTAAACATTTATGCATCCAACATAGGAGCACCTAAATCTATAAAGAAAATATTGGTGGATATAAAGGAAGGGATCAACAGTAATAAAGTTATAGTAGCAGACTTTAATGTCCCTACTATGTCATCAATGTATTGATCTTCCAGACTGAAAATAAAAAAGGAAATAGTGGTCTTAAATGACACATTAGACCAGATGGATTTAATTGATATTTTTAGAGCATTTCACCCCAAAGCAGCAGAATATACATTCTTTTCAAGTGCACATGGAACCAACATTTTTTATAACTAGAGGCCCGTTGCATGAAAAGATTTGTGCAATAGGCCTTCCCTTCCCCTGGCTGCCGGCACTGGTTTTCCTCCGGCACCCGGGACCCAGGCCTTCGCTCCAGCCGGAGCCTTCAGTCTTCACCACTCCTGCTCCACCGCCTCGTGCCTACGTATGCAAATTAACTGCCATCTTCGTTGGGTTAATTTACATACTCTCCTGATTGGCTGGTGAGCGTAGTGGAGGGACAGTCAATTTACATGTTTGTCTATTATTAGGTAAGATAGCTAAGATACGGAAGCAACCTAAGTGACCATCATTGGACAATTAGATAAAGATGTGAGGTACATATCTACAATGGGATATTACTCGGCCATAAAAAGAATGAAATCTTGGGAGTGGCGGGGGAGGGGGAAAAAAGGAGACATATGTAATACTTTAAACAATAATAATAATAAAAAAAGAATGAAATCTTACCATTTGTGATAACAGGCATGGACCTAGACGGCATTATGCTAAGTGAAGTAAGTCAGACAGTGAAAGACAAATACCATATGATTTCACTTACATGTGGAATTTAATGAAAAAAAATAAATGAACAAACAAAATAGAAACAAACTTATAGATATAGAGAGCAAACTGATGGTTGCCAGATAAGAGAGGTGGTTGGGGGTTTGGGTGAAAAACTTGAAGAGATTAAGAAGTACAAGTTTACAGTTACAAAATAGTCATGAGGCTGTAAAGTACAGCATAGGGCAGTGGTCGGCAAACTGTGGCTCGCGAGCCACATGCGGCTCTTTGGCCCCTAGAGTGTGGCTCTTCCACAAAATACCGACTTCTGTGCACGGGCCACGTGCCTGCATGTGGTATTTTGTGGAAGAGCCACACTCAAGGGGCCAAAGAGCCACATGTGGCTTGCGAGCCGCAGTTTGCCGACCACTGGCATAAGGAAAATAGTCAATATTATTTTAACAGCTATGTATGGTTACAGGTGGATACTAGACTTACCAATGGGATCACTTCATAAATTATATGAATGTCTAACCACTCTGCTGTATACCTGAAACTAGTATCAAATAATATTGAATATCTGTAATTGAAGAAACATTTTAGGACAGTAAATCATTTATTTCAGGTCTTGAGATCACCTTTGTTGTCCTTCAGTTTGGTTTCATGAGGATGTGGCTAGGGGGCCCTTCAGCTTCAGGAGCTGAAATATAACTCAGGTCATGATGTTATCTTTAGCTTAACAAACCCCTATCTTGCATCCATTCGTCAAGGGATGGCCATTGCTCTTGCTGCCTCAGGGGACTAATAACTAAGGTAAGGGCTTAACATTTACAAGGCATGCTGTAAAGAAACTGAATAGAGTGCTGGGCTACATATTAAATCAAAATCACACATTAAATCAGGACCCTCGGTTTCCATTGCAGCTGTGTAAAAACAATTCAGGCCATAAATATTCATTTGGGATGCAGGAATAATGCACAATAAGGAAGTCCAAACTGCGGTCCCGGCTCCACCAAAGTCCCTTGTAAGCTCTGGGTTCGTGCCTCTGCGGGACAAAGGATGGGGTGGACAACCCCGCCGGCCATTGGCGGAACGACAGCCAGGGGGCGCTGCAGGCACACTTGCACGTCTCTGGGGACCCTCGGGCCTGCGCACTCCCCAGGGCTCCCGCTGGCCGCTCC